AAGAAGATTTTGAAATGGCTGTAGCAAAAGTTATGCAAAAGGATTCGGAAAAAAATATGTCTATCAAGAAGTTATGGAAGTAATTAGTTGTATTCTGTATTTCATTCTTTCTAATACTACTTCGCATTTTTTGTAAAATCATTTGTGAACTATATATAACTTTGATTGTAATGTATACAAAATAAAGATTATAGTTGTAAGAAAAAATTTAAGTGAGGAGGTTATTGTCCGGCAAAACAAACTTGCGGATTAAGGCGGGCTGTAGAGTCTAGAAGTGGAAGATGTAGGAAAAGTTGTGACGTCTCTCTGTTAATCAGCCAATAGTGATAAAATAAGGCTGTTGCACTTATTCTTACATCTTCGCTGATAATTGGCCAATCACAATAGGAGGAAGGATCCAGAGCATCGTCAGAAATAAAGTATTGTCATGTTAGTTGATTTTTAAAATGGAAATGTAATGGGGATGACGAAGATAGTAATAGCAAAGAGAGATAAGGATGGCACTGAAAGAATGAGTTAGACAAGAATAGAATTTTTTTGAATAAACTAATGCTATCTCGTGTTTGGCTGCGCGAACTAACGGCTCATTACTAGGATCATAGAATGTGAACAGAGGTATTAGACAAGAATCGGAATACTGTGCGAGAAGGATAGAGAGAAAACGTTTCCTATTGGCCAGCGGGCCACCATGCTTCGCCATCTAGACGCTACGTCAAGTCGGCGGGTGAAAAATCATTAATAACTCAATAATTACGATGATTTTGTGAACTTTTAGAATTGGAGAATGAAGTGTGAACCTTTAGCAACTTTCTCATATAGGTTTGGAGGTCCTAGGTCTTTTCAATAATTAGTTATTATAACTATTGCTGTGCAAATTGTCGGCAACGATACGACAGCCCTTTACAGTTTTTCATTAATATCATTGTTTAGTATCAATTCCCTCTACAATCTTTATATACATCTGGAAGGGAGCATCAGTGGCTACATTCTTTTATAATTTTCAGTAACATATACGTTGTAGTTCGATAGTTATTAAACATTATTCGGGAGAATGCTACACTCGTCGAATTCAGGCGTGACATTCTTCTGTTAATTTAATGGAATTTAATGGAATTGCACAATTATTTGTATACTTTTAAGATTGTAGAATGTAGTACGGACTTTCCTTTACATTCTGCGATAATTTTGGTAAGCGTATGTCATGTGGTTTATTAAATATTAGCAATTGTTTATAACAGTTGAGCTCACCCGGGTACGCTGAGCGGTGCACTCTGCCATATAATGTTTAATAACTCGTAACCTGCAGTCGCAATGTTAATAAAAATTACACGAGAAACTAGCTAAAGGAACAGGCTTTCCAATGAATGTATCAAAGTGTATGAATTATACGGGTTAAGGTACGAAAGTAACGAAAAATTTTAAGGGACTGTCACGACATGTCGTATTGTTTCTGACATTCCGCATGAAAATTCTTAATAACTAATTATTGAAAGGATCTAGAGCCTTCAAACCTATATGAGAAAGTTGCTAGAGGTTTATACTTTATTCTTCAATACTAAAAGTGCACAAAATTATCATAAATAATGAGTTATTAATGATTTTTCACCGACCGACTTGATTTGTGGCCTGGGATGTGAACCATGGCGGCCCGCGGACCAATAGGAAACGTTTTCTGTCTGTCCTTCTCGCACAGTAGTGCGTTCCTTATCTAATACCTCTGTTTATATCCTATGTTCCGAGTAACGAGCCGTTAGTTCCCGCAGCCAAACACGAGATGGTGTTAGTTTAAAACATTCTATATTCTTGTCTAATCCTATTCCTTTCCTTGTTTAACTCGTTTCTTTAGTGCTACCCTTATTTACCACTATTCCCCTTCTTAACATTCTCATTTCTCTAGTGCTATCCTTGTTAAATGCTATTCAGTTCCTTGTCTCTCTTCGCTATTGTTATCCTCGTCATCCCTATTATGTTTAAGTGATACTTATAATCAAATTTAATTGTTTTAACATCACTAATAACGTAGAGAGTATAATAAAGTTTCTGGTTCATTTTCAAGTACTTTAATTATAGAATAATTAGCGTTTGGTGGTAAATAACAATTTAGATGGTAATTTATAATTATTGGAAGTATTAAATAAATTCGTTGCACGCTTTAACTTAATAAAACAGCTGAATATACTGCTATTTCATTAAATTAACCAATGTATTCGCTAGATTAGTCAGAAATTGTTTATAACTTTTATTAAAAATTGGAAAAATTAATGTTCTTTTTGTGTGAATTGCAGATGGAACCCTCAGGTTATCGCAGGAATCCAGAAAAGGGCTTCAATATCAGGAGAAATGAAGAAATGCAGTTATTTATCGAAAAATCAATTATTTATTGTAAAATTATTGTTAAAATGTATTTTACAAAAGGTTACAATATACCAGTACTGTTGTACAGCATTTTACAGTCTATTTACTTCTCCTTTACACACCAAATCCCTTTCCTTTTGCAAAGAAACCCATTGTTTAAACAATATTACATTGCAAAATTGAATAAATGCATGCCAGAAACCTCCAGAAATGAGTTTCCATCGAGAAAATCGAAAAAATCCCGAAATTCTAGCAGAAACTACGAAAATTAGGCGAAGATTTCGAAAATCGCGCGAATATACTCGTTCGGTGCTAAAGTCCTCGAGAATTCCTGGAATTTACGTCATTTCTCGGAAATGACCAAATTTCCAAGAATCGAGGCGATTCCAAGAATTGACAAATGGCCTTCGAAAATTTCAGTTCTCGAGAATTCCTGGAATTTGGTCATTTCCGAGAATCGAGTCACTTCCAGGAAGTGACCTCCTATCACATCATGTTCGCCTATTAGAAAGTCGATTTTCGGCCAAAAATTTCCGAAAATCGAAAATCCTGACTTTGTACTAGGCGAACATGATGTGACAGGAGGTCGATTCTTGGAAGTGCCTCGATTCTTGGAAA